TGGTACGGTTGAGAATGAGGAGAGTCCGCTCTCCCTCTGCAAAATACTCTCACATGGCCACGTGCATACAACCACTGACAGGGAAGTCATTCTCACTGTCTTCTTGTGGCATAGCTGTTCTTTACGAGATTGAGAGGACGAAAAGAGAATGTCCGGCGCTTTAACCTGGATGGTGGACATGGAGGATACATCTATGGGAGTTGGATATCCCTGATTCCAAACCAATGGTGCACATGGGCTCCGGGATCCTGAGGAAACAAATGGCATATGAACCAATTGTTGGTTACCGGCTACCATGGGACTTCATCTCCATACGTTGCTCCACTTCCTTGTGGATTAGACCCTTGAGTTAAAGGCTCCGAGTATTCCCCAGCTAAGAAAACCATTTGTTTCGGTTTGGGCACCCAGGCAGTATTACAGCCCTCATATAAATTGAATGATTTATGTGGCGCATTTCTGTTTGGTGCCTCCTTGTACCAATGTTTATGTGTTTAAATAAATAAATAACATAACATAAACTAAACAAAACGATTTATGGATTAATGATAACAATGACAAAGGATTACGTAACTAATCATAACAAGAAAAATATACAAACTGATAATAAGGCGGGTGTAGTTATGATTATAAGAATAATAAACGGTATAATAAAATGAATACATATTTCTACATAGCAACTAACATTAAGAAGTTGAGAAGATAGAAATTACTAAAATAATGAATATTGAGAATTCTTCAATTAGGTAGAATTGATATGTGTAAATAATCAGTTTAAATATGAAAGGAGTGAAGTGAGATAAACAATGGCTAGAAAGAGCAGATAAACATGTCTATTGAATTTTCTTTAATCAAACAAAGAACAGAGATATTATAAACTTCTTCCACATATATGAACTAGAGTTGTTAAGGTGATTCTCAATAAATTTCGATATGTTTTGTGATCGTTTTCAAATTACATTGAGAGATTTCTCACTAGCTAGGTGGACAATTTGCTTAGTAACACATTGCCCAATGTCCTACTGAGTTTTCACATAATTTATTTTTGGTGTTAAAACCCTGTATAATATTGATTAATTTGGTTTCTGATAAGTACATTGCCTATGCTTTTAGAATAGATTATAAAAATCCATTAACATACATATACAAACAGACAGACTACTACTACTATAGTGAAAGAAAAAAACAAGTGGGGACAATCGAATACTTTACCACTGAGCTATACCACCCCCTCCCCTTTCATAGTTCTTGCATTTTTATATCAATTACTTTCTGTTCCCATTCTTTCCTACTCGACACTCTTCTATCAGACATTCTAATCCTGATTATCGTTATATACTACTACTCATGTCGATATAAATAGCACATATCACACTACTACACCTAATTACACATTGAATCCAAATTGTACAATTTATCTTATTATCAGTAAATAAATAAATAATGAATTTATCATCTTTGAATTAATCAAAAGAATAAAAACGTGGGGGGGGGGAGCGGGCGGTGCGGAGGAGGGCGGTAAACGTAATTTACTTATCCATGAATAAAATAATGTAAACATTTATCAGTTTAAAAAAAATTTTTTAGAATCAAGTAAAATGTGGTTAAAAAAATAAAAAAAAATAAAAAACTTGGGAAAATCTGGAAAAGCAATAAAAAATGGGGGGGGGATGAAAAGAGTTATGTATATGTCTGTCTGTCTATAATGTGACCTTGTGTGTGTGCATTTTGTGTCTACCTCTCAACCAATCAGCTGTTTGTACTGGCATCATATATATATATATATAAATCAAGGAATAGACATGTAATTGCGTGCTATTATCTAGTCTATTGAACTCAAACAATACATCACAAACGATAATGTTCACTTCATAAACTATTTTTTATAGTAGATGATAACAACATAAGGTAAGAAAGCAATTAGTGAAAGAAAATGGATTGATTTTACATTTCTTTTGTTCTAAGATAAGATCTTCACCAAACATACATACATACATACATACATACATACATACATACATACATACATACATACATACATACATACATACATACATACATACATACATACATGGTACGGTGTTACTCCACCGTCGTCTACAATCTCCCCCCTCCCCCAAAAATGTATCCAGGATAGAAAAAAATGGACAAATAACATAAATAAATAAATAAATAATTGAATATTTCCATTGTAGTACAATTAGTAAACAATAATAATAATAATAATAATAATAATAATAATAATAATAATAATAATAGTAATTGAAGTACACATTAATATGAACAATTTATTGTATGCAATATATAGTACTTATTTAGATAGTGCACTATCTATATATGATTACATAGATAAGTGAAATAACTAAACATACACCCAATATAAACATACAAAAGAACACTTCGCCTTCCTCCTTCTACTGAATATAGATATTTAAGTAGCATTTTCATAGAATGATGCCTTTTGGTTAATAAATAAATTAATTTATTATATATAGATAATCATGATAATTATAGTATCTGAGATAAATATAAAATCAGATAACCATATGTTTATGTAGATGAATTAAGAAAAAAAAGAAAAGAACTATTCATGAAATAAAGGGAAAGTCGGAAGAAGAAAAACATACATAAGAAAAATCAGAAAGAGAGGGGGTTTTTGTGGATATTATAGTAATTTCTAATAGTTGAGATCATGAGTTAATTGAAGTACCGGACAGACGTTTTATTCTATTGTGGGACTTCTTAGAAGTGCACATTCACGATCCTGTCTCGTGAGATTCGAACTCAGGACCTACTAGTCGCGCGCGTGAACGCTTTATCTCTAGACCATTGAACTTGAAGGTATCTAACGGTGTTAATGTGTAATTTTAATCAATCCACGAAATTACGCCGTGACTAGTAGAGTGCAACAGAGTCTGTTGTGAGATAGTAACTCATTGAAGACAATGGTGGATGTTTCGCTCAATTTCGTAGATTATTTAAAATTAGACATTAACATCGTTCGATGCCGTCAAGTCCAGCGGTCTAGAGGTTAAGCGATAGGTTCTAGGTTCGAATCTCGAGAGGCGGAATCGTGGGTGAGCACTGCTGTGGAGTCCCCATAATATAACGAAACGGCCGTTCAGCGCTTCCAGGTTTTCCATGCTGGTCTAGCTTCGATTGACTCATGATCTCAACTATTAATATTCTATATAACTTGAAACAATCTATATAATGAATGAGTTTAATAAATTTATCCAAACTCATAATTATTTTTCTGTAATGTGAGTAGTATTTTCCGTTTCTCTAAATTGCAAGCAACTGTCAAATATGATCGAATATGGTGATTCGACCTGAGACTTTTAGAAAACATATGTTACCAATGACAAAAATCTATTCAACCTACAGTAACCTTATTTACAATGGACTATACCATAAGATTTTTCTCATTTTTATTTGATTTGTAAATTTGTGTTTATGTTATTAGTTAATCATAATAAATTGAAACCATGTCTACATGTCGACTAATTGACCTGTATGACATATTTTTAGTAATCATTTCATAGCCTACTATTAACAGATTCTTAGAGTTAGAATTTCGACATTATTAATTGTTGACTATATATTCTTAGCTATAGTCATTCACTGATATGAGTCAACGATATACTGTATTAGAAGACGGTGGTTTTAGTTAGTCATCAGGAAACACTGAACCCAGGTTTCGTGCTATTTAGCATCAGTTCCGTCAAGATTGCAGTTACACCTTGCTGAACAATATCAAGTAGCACGAAGCCTAGGTCCAAGGTTTCCTGTTAACTACCTACAACCACCATCTTATCTCAACATAGTGCACTCAATGTCGAGTCATCTAGACTAGTGGCTACATTGCAACTTGATTGATGGGATTCGATCTGCACTAAGAAGTACCCAGAGATCAACCAATTGTATATACTGTGTTATTTAACTCCTAACCAATATTCATACATAATTAAGTAGAAGGAGTGTTCACACTATTCGATATTGTACTTTCCGAAAATAGTGCAAAATGTTCATATCTTCAGCTATACAGATTATGTTTATCTAGTAGATAAAAATCAACTGAGAAGTTTTCACTTACTGATATAATTCAGACAAGATTAAAAGCAAGTCAGTTAGTTTTCAGCAACAGAATATGGTACGAATTCACTTGGTATTGTTTACTTGAATCTTCTCATTGATATTTAGGATTGCAATTGATCAGTCTCTTATTGACATATTGCCTCGATATTGCCTTAATTCACAAGTGTTATAAACAAAGATTGATAGAGACCAGCAGTGGAATCCAGTTTGGCGGGCGTTTCGTCCTATTTGGGACTCGTCAGCTGGATGTGCCTGCATCTAAGCGAACAGTACTGGGTTCGAGTCCCAGGGTGAACATTAACAAATCTGAGATGCACTCAAATCCATCTGACGAGTCCCAAATAGAACGAAACGTGCGTCCTGTATTCTACTGCTAGCCACTATCCATCTTTACTTAGAATATGGTACATATGTGTATCGATTCAATCTATCACATCATATCAGGATAATGCAATTAAACTATTAAGATAAATACTGGGTTAATAAAAGTTATAACAGTATCAGTGATAGTAGAAAATATTAAGAATAGACAATATGATTCAAGAGAAAAGAATGAAATTGATTAATAGAATATATAAGATAATCTTACAATTTAATATCTAGGGGAAAGATAAAGAATTCATGTATCTCCATTATTTCGACTGATTTTAACTCATATCACCCCACCCAATGACTCAACTCAGGTAGTATGTAATTAATAGCTACCATCTTACAGTATTATTCAATTATGGATTATGACAATGTCATTGTCAGTAAATACAACTGACAGGTCATAGATTAATTATGTGTTATTGGGTGTTATGAAATCAATTATGTACATGGTAACTGTTAGACATTGTGCACCATACATATATGCTTGACGAAAATGGAAAATAAGCACACACACACGCATATATTTCACTCACCTTATGTAATTGGTTAATAATATTGTTATCTACATTTGTTTGTTGTTTAGATACTGAAAATCCTATTGTTGAAGAAGGAGTCGGAAGAGAGGATGTTGGAGGATATGATAAATTACTATTATTATTATTATTATTATTATTATTATTATTATTATTATTATTATTATCATTGGATTTCATTTGAACAGATCGATTTAAACCCATAATTGGATGTGATATAGAACATGATTTTAATCCTACTATTTCTGATATTGTTGATACTGTTGGTGTCGATACTGGTAAAGATGATGAAACACTTTCAGTGACTATTGTCGATATTTGTATTGTGGAATTAGTTCCAGTCAATTCATTTAATTGATTAGCTAACATATCTCGTTCTTCAATGACACATGTTAATTGAGCTTGCATATTTGATAAAATTGTTTCATATTTTATACACTGAAAGAGAAACGAATAAAAAAAACAGTAAAAAATATCAGTGAATAAGTAGTATTTAGTATGAAATTTGAATTCACGATTCAATCTAAGCTAGACCACCATTGAAAACATGGAAGCATTAGGTGGCCATTTCATCCTAGTACAGGACTCATCAGTAGTGCTCACCTAAGATCCCGAGCGAGGACGATTAAACTCTAGATCAATAAGCTTAGATCGACTCGTGAATTCAACTCTGGAAATGCTATAATCTTCATGAATCACCATACCAAAAAATTGGATATGTTACGTAAATGACGCATTCATGATTCTGAAGAGAAACGAATTCGAAAATGATCATAAGTTGCCTAACAACATCTTTGACGACATCGAATTTATAAAAAATGAAAATTCAAAAAATAAAATATCTTTCTCATATGTCTTAATCAACAGAACGAATACAGGTAACTTTAGAAACACAAGTATACATAAAGCCAAGCCATATTGACTAAATACTTGACTACAACAATGACAATCGAACAGCACAGAAAAGTCAAAACCATTTTGAGCACCGTCGCTACACGAAGAATTAAGGAAACCTATCTATCTGTTGCCTATAAAAATGGCTACCACAAAAAATTCATCAAAAGGTGTCTGATTAATCTGTATACCATTAAAAAAATCAACATCGGGAACCAAAAATACAGATCATTCCACCATATGTGTAAAATATCTTTGAAACTATTAGAAGGATTCTGAAACTTGCTTTTTTTTGGATCAATGTCCCTTACAAACTAACGGGATAACTTTATTCCATATTATAAAGATTAAAAGCCAACAGCAAAAGTGGACAAATCCAATATCATCTACAAATAAATTATACTAACTACGAGAAATGTTACATTGAACAAGACGGACGCCCGTTTCATTTAAGTATATACAACCAAAAGTTTGGAGTGAAATGACACAATATTTTACCACTGATATCAATGCAGGTAGAAAACTGCAGACATGAATTCAATTAGGAAAAAGTAGGACCATAGGATCGAGAACATTCTAAGAACATCATTCAAATCAATCCCTAGTCAATAGACACATCGATCTAGATCTATAAACCTATAAGAAAAAGATCAATCAATCACATGGTCAATGGTCAGTAAAATAGAAATATAAAGCAAAATAGAAAATAAAATCTATGAAAACCATCCGTTACAAACAAGGACATCGGAACAAATTCATCTAACATTTAAGGAATAACTAACTTCTATACAAAATAGATGTTAATCATGTTGTCCTATGTGTTACTATGATAGTTTCACAATTGAACTAACCATCTAACTCAAGAGAATAAAATGTCATTAAAAGTATACAAATCACATCCTTAACTCACAAAAGCATATTATTATTATTACTATTCCATATTACATAGTGATCGGTTTACAAATCAATAAATTTTAAGAAAAAACTGCTTTTGTAACTAAGGTAAAAAGAATTGAATATTTTTAAAAAAAAAACATACTCATTAATTGGGGAATAAATTTTTTAAATATAGAAATATGAAAGGGGGGGATAAGAGAATGTGATAGATATTAGGTGGATTAGATATTAAATACTACCTAGGCAACAATAATTAATAAATTATTTCACTTAACTAATGTTAACATTGACTGATTAGTCTATTTTTTTTTATAGAAAAAAAATTCTTTCCTTATCTCCACCTTATCTTGATTTAGTATAAAGATAATGAATAATGAAAGAAGCAAAGTAATAGGAAGTACACTTTAATTTTTACCGTTGCTATAAGCAACTATATTCCGTTTCATCGAGACACTAAACTGTTATTATTATAACTGAAAAGGAAACAGACACACACACACACACACACGTACATATACACATTAAAGAAACTGTTTAAAGAATCTAGTTTGGGCAAATTTTTTTAAAATAGAAAAAACAGAGGAGTCATTTGGAATTTCTTATTTTTTTCTTACATCACTTGAGACATCGGTAAAATCAAAGGATAAGTAAACATTGTAAGAGTTAGCCCTTTATACATATATAAGTAGAGATGAATAATAGCTAGCAGTGGAATTCAGAACACACATCACTTCGTTCTATTTGTGACTATTCACCTGGATATACTTGTATCCGAAAGTTGATATACACCTCGGGACTCAAACTCAGTATCGCTAGCTTCAAACAATATCGTGTTCCCTATTTAGCAATTAAGAGCAGTGAAGTTTGATTCAGTTTTGTATTGGTTGTTTAAATCTTCCCATTGATGTTCAAGATAATAAATCAATTGCGTTTTGATAGTATTACTCACTGAGTTGATAATATTAAGATTGTATACTTGATTCCAAGTAATGTGAATGAGTTGCGATTGATGGATTTCTAAATCTGAACCGATTGAGATGGTTACATTGTGTAACACTCAGGCCAGATTTCTGTGAAATGTTCAGTTGCTATGTTGGAGATCAGTTACTCATTATATTTTGTTTATTTTAACACATAGATATTGGTACAAGGAGGCACCAAACACATATGCGCCACACAAATCTCATTTGATATGTGTGAGGGCTGTGATACTGCCTGGGTGCCTAAACCGAAGCAGGTGGTTTTCATAGGGAGCCACACACGGAGCCTTCTACATGAAGGTCTGATCCACAAGGCAGTGGAGCCATCGTAAGGAGATGCAGTTCCATGGTAGCCGGTAACCAACGATTGGTTTATACGCTATTTATTCCTTCAGGATACTGGAGCCCATATACACCATTGGTTTGGAATCAGGGTTTTCCAACTCCCCTAGGTGGACTCTCCATGTCCACCAATTCGGTTAAAGCGCCTGACGGACATTCTCTTTTCATACTCTCAGTTTCGTAAACAACACCTGTGGTGCGAGAATGCAGTGAGTATGACTTCCCTGGCAGAGGCTATATACGCGTGGCCATTTGAGAGCATTTACAGAGAGGGAGAGCGGACTCTCCCCACTCTTGGCCGTACCAGGGCATTTGGGCGCTAAGTTGCTGTACCCCATTAGTACGATAAGATGAAAGTTGAACAAATTGAAATAATGTAAGAATAATGATAATGATAAAGACTAAACACTGAAAATATGGTTCGAGAAAGTGAGAAGTGTATGAAGGAATACTACAGCTCAAGATACAGGGAAAGATTAACAGTGAATTCATCTGCACCATTGACTGATTATTAATCAGCATCTCTAACTGTTACTGCACCCATTTATCTACCAATGTAGCTCGCGTCTACCAATATTCAGATCAACAACCAATGACTCCAAAGACCAAGGTTAGGCTTTGCTTTGGAAACCTCCAACTTTCTTCGCATCATCTGGATCCTTGTATTGATGTTCACATTAAGATTCAAATCCAGTATCTTTAGCTTCAAAAGTCAACGTTTTATTCAGTTTCACTTAATAAACATATAATTATATATAAATATTTCTTTTCATGTTTACAAAATGAAATTGCCTAATATATGTAACGATTATAACATACAACTTGAAGTTTTCGTAGATCATTATTGAAAACATTCAGCCAAACATATACTATAGTGTAATATGAAGAGGAATTCTTGTAGTTTAATGATAGTTATTGTCACAGACTTTTATTGATCACATATAAAGATTTACATATAGCCACACACAGGAAATGATAATATTGTGCAGAGAAAGAAGACGGAAGAGTTTTACCATCAATAAAGATTTACCTTAGTTATAGGACACAACTTCAATTTTATAAGTAATGTAATATCGTCATTAGCTTCTATGCTAAGCCTTGTCTGATAACGTTACACGTTATTGAGTTGTACGATGTCTAGGATCCAAATGGAGTATAGTGAAGAAGCAACAGATCCCAATCCTATACAACTTTCATATCACCGTTTCATAATATGTCATAATATAGTGTTGTTACTGGATTTCAATAATGCTTCAGAGGCAACGATCATCGAATCCAGAGGGTCACTAAACATAAAGGAAACATTTTGTCTGTTCAATCAGTCACAATGAATGTAAGGCCTAGAACAAATGTGTTTGAACTACATTGTCACACTGCATTAATAAAGTGAGGTAAATTTAACAAGAAAGATGGCGAAACATTGATGTAATGGTAGTCAGTGATGGTCAAGTGAACTAAACATAGAAAATGTGACTAAAAAAAAGAAGTCAAATTAAATAGTAAAAGAAATTTAATATGATATTCAAAATAGAATTTAGGGAAGATTCTAAATAGCTACATTTGCGCTACTCCGAATGATCTACCGTTTCTAAAAGTTAATCATATGGAGTATAATCAGATAATTGTAATAATATATCAATACAGTACCGACTAATAGTTGATGGGCTACATAGACTGATGTCATATCTTGGCTTGAATACTGACAATATTCTTCTGACCTAATACCAAACAAACTAGGACTACTCAATGAAGTATGCAGTGATTTGACCAGCGTAATATATATCTCCGTCATCGAATATCTAATAAAATCATCAATCGATTTACCACTTTCATCTTATCATAACTAAGTTCAAACATCGGGTATTATTTATTCATGCAACTTGAATTATTTTAGTCAATAGTAAAATCATCACAAGATACAAAGAACCAACAAAACGTTTATAATGTAAAATGGTTACAGACATATTTATCTCTACATTACCTTTTATCTATACATGTTAACTCTTATTCCGAATTTACCTACATTTGTAATATAAAGAGTTATACGTTTATGTGTGTGTGTGTGGCTAAAAGGCAGACACATATAGAGAGAGAGGGAGCAAGAAGTCTTGATAGTTACTGTTTTAAAATTAGGACATCAAACCTACCACAGTGTGGCGAATATATATATATATATATATATATATATATCAGGAGTTTTTTGTGGATATTATGGTAATTTTAATAGTTGAGACCATGAGTCAATTGAAGCTAGACCACCATAGAAAACCTGAAAGCACTGAACGGCCGTTTCGTCCTATTATGGAACTCCTCAGAAGTGAGAAT